GCCCGTGTCCATCGTCCCACCTACAAAGCAGGAAGTGGGGCAGTGCTCCCTGGGGCCAGCCCGCAGCCGGGAACCCTCAGCTCGATGACCCCATCTCCCGTCCCTGGAGGGCAGATCCTCAGAGGTGCAAGAAGGACTGAGCCAGCCCACCCCTGGGCCCTCGCTCTGCACAGACCCTCCTTTCTGCACAGATCCACTTGGGCTTCCTGGAGTCACCACCAAGCCGTCCACCTGCCCCCAAGTCCTGGCTCAGCTCTGCTTCAAGAGAACCCACGCTAAGCATGTCTCAGGTAGAAGCCAGCACACCTGTCACGGATGGAAGTGGGGAGCCCCTCAGGAGGAAAATCAACAAACTGTGACGATGACAGCCTTGGGAGGACACCCGCAGGAAATTCACTTCCCATTCCTGCTCTTGCTCTTCTGTCCCTTGTGAACCTCACAGGCTGAGCACCCCTGATCTACTCAAAAACATGCTCTTAGTTGCCAAATCCAGGTGTCCACCCAGAGGCTCAGTCCCTTCAGCCTAACACACAAGTGCTCCAGAATGTTCCACAGCTTCATTTAGCAACAGCCAGCAAGTAGGAATGTCAGGCCAGATTCCGGGACCCCATAGACACACCAGAGTCTTTATAGCAAGCTCGAGCCTGGACTCACAACCGTTCCCGACGCAGCGGTCCCAGTCCTCTGTTCAGTGAGATTTTATAGGTTTTGGGGGGATACTCTACGTGTCACAACATCACACAGCAAATCATTCCATACCGCGGGAAAGTCAAACAACAACTCTTAACATTGATTAGCACATTCACTGTGGGAACAAGTTGGGTGGGTGATTGGCTAGTACAAGAGGGGGATTCCTTTGAACTGATTGGTTTAGGCCATGAGGGGTGTACGTGCTGAACTACATGGTTTCCCAACACGTTATCAACCACCATAAACTACTGGGGGTCATCTGGCATCCCAGGTATTTCCCTGTCTCAGGCTGATTGGAGGTTGCTAGGGGGTTGCTATGGGTCCTCACCTAGGCTGACTGAGTCAGGGACACCTGGCGCAGCAGATCTCTCCTGTTATTTGCAGACAAACAACTCAGCAGGGTGGGCATGTGCCTAGGAGCGCTCTGAGGGTGTTTCCTTAGGACCAGGGTCACGCCCCTTCCTTAGGACAGGCCTTGAGGTAGAAGCTGTTTTCAAACATGAGGTCACATCAGTCTCCCAGGAACAGCCCAAGTGTCCGCAGGCACCGCTCCGATACACTCGAATGGCCCATGTGCAGGCAGAGGGTCCTGGCCACAGAGGACACAAAGCCCCGACACCTGAGCAGCCTGGGCAGAACTCACACTGCCCGGGGACGGGCCAGACACCAGAGCCCGAGAGGTTCCTCCCCTTGAAACATTCAGAATGGGCAAATCGACAGAGACAGAAACTCGTCAGTGGTAGCCAGGGGCTCGGGCAGGAGCTGGGATTGATGGCCGAGGACAAGAGGGATCTTTCTGGAAGGATGCCAGTTTTCCACATTAGGAGGTGGCTGTGGGACTCAGTAAATTTACAAAAATCACTGAGTTGTACACCTGAAACAGGTGAATTTGGGGCATATAAATTCTACCTTAACAAAGTCATGTAAAAATGAAACAAAACCAAAAACGGTGAACAATGCACCAATAGGCACATGGGAGGGGGCGGCCCGTACGTGAAGCCAAGGTGACGCTGGTCACACGGGACACAGCTGTTCCCTCTGGGTCACGCCGGTCTCACGGGACACAGCTGTCTGGGTGAGCAGCCCCACAGAACTACCTAGGATGTGGCCAGGCAGCCACAGAGTACGTTTCCCCAATGTCATTTCTGCAACTCAAACAAGAAGAGCTTAAACAAATAAACAAACAAGAAGGCAGCCCAGGGGCAGCCGCACCCGGGGGCTCTCAGCTGTGGTGAGAACATTCCGTCCGGAGCCCTGCAGGTCTCTGCGCAGGCAGCTCGATGACGCCAGCACCCACAGCTGGCAGCTCTGCCCCACACGCCCTCATGCCATGGCCCAACCCTCCCTCTGTGGGTTGTGACCCCAGGAACACATGTGTGGCATTGCCCTGCAGGACCGAGGCCAAGGTTAATGCCAGGCCAGGCTGAGCCCCCACATTCATGAGGATGCCCTGCTCCCCCAGGGGTGGCCAGGACACAGCCAAAGCCTATCCACGAGGGTGCTGAGGATTCTCCATCTTGGGCTCTGCCAATCCCTGGCCACCCCACCTCCATCCCACCCTCCAGCAGGGACATCAAGTCCCCACCTCAGTGCACAGCCCAGGGGGAGACGGGCCTAAGCAGACAGGTTAACGGACCGTGACTGGTCGGGCGTAGCCCAGGAATGTCCTCAGGGTGCTCCTTCTTGTCAGCACTTTGTTTATTAAGCTTAGTGTAGGGATCAGGGAGCCCAGGGCTGCTGCATTCTTGGCCACCTAAGTCTTGATTAAAAGTCTCCAAGCCTCAGGTAGAGCGCTCGCCTAGCACGTGTGAGGCCCTGGGTTCAACACTCAGCACCACATTACAACAAACAAATAAACAAAATAAAGGTGTTATGTCCAACTACAGCTAAAAAAAAGTCTCCAAGCTGCAGACATTGAAGCCAGGATCTCCAATTGAGAGTGGGAGATTCTTGTGCCCCTCTCAGCTTTTTGAACGCTTGCCCTGAAATACATTCCAAACGTCTATGGGAAGGACGGAGAGCCCCACGCATGTTCTCAGGCCGTCCCAGCTACGAGAGCTGCCTGCTTTGAAGTCCTCCTGGGGTTTGAGTCAGATTACGTCGAGTCTTCTCTGGGGTTACGGAAGTCCTTTGTGACCCAAAGAAAGAAAAATACCACCTTCCTAGTGTTGAAGGGTCAGACAGGCAGGGCACCCAAGACAGCAGGAGACAGTTTTATTTGGCTGCAGCCAGGTCCAGAGGGCACAGCTTTTGCTGTAATCAATTAACCCCCTGAACCCCGAGTTCAGGGAGTTTCAGAGTTTTATGCCCAGCATGTAAGGGGAGGGGCTCAGAAGTTCACAGTCTGCAGAAGTTCACATAAATCAGCTTTTTCTCTCACTGTTCTGGGCACGTTAACCCTTCAAGGACCACACCTGAGAAGGGGAGAGCTTCTTCTCCCCTCTCTTTCCTCCCCTGCCAGCTGTTACCATGGAGCCCAGTTGTAACTCATCTTAGAAATGTTGACATCTCTGTGAAGCCCAGCTCAAGGCCAGAGCCTTGTTTGCACAGTTCTACAAACTACTATACTGGATACATGTGTGAAAAGCTAGTAAGGGGTGTCCAGCACCTGGAGTGCTGGTATCTCCCTGGCCAGTGGCCAAGTAAACAGGGCGACATGAAAATAGGAAGTCTATCTACTTGGACTCTTTTGCTGACAGTCCTAAAATCGGCCATGGTGGAGATTTCTGGAGAGGCCCAGTTAAGACTTTTCTGTGGAGAAAGGGGGTGCCACTTCACCAGAACAATGGCGATAGTTTGCAAATGGTCCACTATCAACTGTGTCCATGCCAGACTAAATTTGGCCCAAGAAGGCCTCTGTACTCGGGCACTTTGTCAGAACTGTGGCCTGGCTCAACAGACCCCGGCAGCCAGGTAGGGCGAGCTCTGCCACGGGCACCCAGCCCCAGCAGCCAGTCACAGGTGGCCCACACTTCCAGTCAGGCCCAGAAGCCCCTGGTGGGTCCAGGAATGCTTCCAGAACTCTGAACTCTCCTGGTCCTGAGGGCCGCCTGGTTCTAGAAGCTGTGGAAGGGCCACTACCACCTGCGTAACTGCACGGGGTGTAACTTTGCCTTTTAACGCTTGATGTGAGCCGGGCTCGGTGGTGTGCTCCTGTGGTCTGAGCCACTCAGGAGGCTAAGGCAGGAGGACCCCTTGAGCCAGAGTTCAAGGCCAGCCCAGCCGGCACAAACCACAAAACAGCTGATGTCCTGATTTTTAACTTCATCAGAAAATCGCCCACGTGCCTGACGGGGGAGCAGCAGCTCACAAGCACACGGCACCCCTCACCCCTCACCTGCGCCATGTCACCACTGGCCGAGCCGAAGGCCCACTCTACACCCCTCGCCCCGAGCACCCTCCAGCCCTGGTTGAGGGCTGAGAAGTCAGTTCCTCCTTCCACCCTTCAGCAGGGTGAGGGAGAGGGCGGCGGGCGACTCGGTGAAGGGGAGCAGAAACGGGAGTAGGGGAGGAGTGAAGGCGGAGAGCAGGCATCGACAGACACAGAGTTTACTTGTCAGAGCTGACAGACAAAGGCCACCTCTCTGTGGGAGACAGGGGCAAAGCAGCTTGAGTCCTGGGACTTTATGGGGAGGCTCAGGAGTCAGAGGGGGGTGGTGGTGTCCTAATGCGGGTGACCCTTGGGAGGGAAAGCGAAACCTTTTCCTTAAAATGGCAGGTGTCACTTAAGATGGCCACCCAGATGCTAAGCAAGGACCCCCTTTTTTGTTTTTATTGGGCCCCTTAGGGAACAGGGACAGAGGTCAATCTTCTATAACTGCTTCCTGCTGGGAAGGGGTGTTTGAATCCCTCATTAGGGGCGCAGGATGTCACTGGAATCATGATGGAGGTCGAGTGGTGGTGGAATGCTGTCCCAGGTGTGGGCAGCCACTCTGAATGACCCACGCCTTCCATCCTGAAGCTAGAGGCTCTGACCAATCACTACGTTTCGTAGTGACTTGGGCATTGTCCTAGTTCAGGAAGTTGGGGACGTGTCTTCAGATGTAGGCAAGTCACCCATGGGGTTGAACTACGCTCACCTGTCCCTTTGTAATACCACCCCTTGCCCTGTTTGGGATAGAACGGTTCCATGGAAACTCCCTTTGTGTGTCCCCTTCTCTTGCTCTGCCTTTGGGTGTGGCCTTCCTAGATGTCAGTCAACCTGCTGACAGTGGACATCATGAAGCTAGACTCAGCCCCCTGAAACCTGACCCCTGGCCTCATTGGAATGGCTTCTCCTCAATAAAAGGGGTCAGCACACGCTCACTCGCTCTTTCTGGGGACCCTTAAGGTCAGAGAAGCCATTGCAGGACCCCAAATATAAAGGTCTCTCTGTCTCTTGTGTGATTATTTTGTGTAGCCCAGGTCCCCTGGAGTGACCCTAAGTGTCTTAGTCGTGAGGAACACGACACCCAGGTGCCCCAATTTTTGGTGAGGGATTGGTATTCCCGTAACAAAAGCTGGTTTACAGTTTTGTTACAGATTATTTGGACCTGGTCTTGAGCCAATCTAATGATGCAGGGGACAAGCATTAACAGAAGGCCTGTGACAAGGAGAGGGGTCAGGAGAGGAAGTGCCCACTGGAGAAGGGGTGACTTGGCGGCCACCTTCAGCAGAGGAGAGCTGTTGTTTCCGACCTTCAAGGTCCTGTTGGAGTTGTTTATCTGTCCTTTGCTCTACAGATTGATTGACACCAAACAGCATTCCTCCTGTAGGGACAAAGTCCGCCTCTTTCGGCCATGAAAAGATCAAGGCCCCTTGGATTCTGCAGAACCACAGCGGCTGAAGAATCGAGCTGGGACTGGGTGGTTACTATGGTTTGAGCAAGTTGCTGTGAGTCCCTAGAAATTGGACTGGTAACTCCTGGTGAGTGCAGAAGGAGGGAGGAGGGCAAAAATGAAAAGGGAAGGGTGGTCCTCACGGTTCTGCAGTGTCCCGTGGTCCTCAGAGACCAAAGGAAGATGGGGGGGTTCCGGCCTTGGAGAAAGGCAGCTTGAGAGGGCCTGTGGGTGTCTCTGTATAAAAGGGGGAGAAACCGTTTTAAGTGGGAGTTATGAACCCAATATGGGAGGCCCTCAAGGTGGGCCGCCAAGGGAGTGGTAAGAATGACCGATAGGGTCCAGTCCACTTTGCAGAGAGTTAAGGGGAGGTGCCTGTTGGGGGGTTAAAGGTACCAGGGCGCCAGAGACAGAGTGGGAAAGGAAGAGGCAGAACTAGGCTTGGCCAGAACAGCATCACTGTGTTGCCAAAGAAGGTTCCTCATGTGTGCAAGAAGGGACCAGAAAAGATGAGGAGCAAGGGGCAGTGGAGAATCAGAGGGGCTGAGCTGAGCAGGGAGGCGGGTCCATATAGGAGCTCAGAGGGGAGATGTGGAGTGGCTTCCTTGGGAAGGCTTGAGACCTAGAAGAGCCCAAGGGAGGATTTAGTCCAATCTAAATGTAATCAAGGGATAGTTTAGTGAGAATGTTCTTCAAGGTCCGGTTGGTACGTTCCACCTTGCCAGAGGACTGGGGATGCCAGGGGACATGAAAATGCCAGGAGATGTTGAGTGCCTTAGCTACTAACATGAAACATGGCGAGTAAATTCTGGGCCATTGAGACTGGAGCGAGGAGGGGAGGCCCAATTGGCCTGGATGTGGTGGGGTGCCCGGCATTCCTGTCCCCTGTGCCCTGCACACCAGGGGGTAGACCCACAGCCTTGGTCTCCAAGGTCGCTCCGAGCAGGGATGGGCCTTCCACTGTGTCCCACCCCAGGGGCAGTGTCCAGTTGCTCCTCTGCTTGCCACTGGGTCGACTGGGCCCTGATGTGCTGAATGTCCCATATCCCCGTCACCTCCTCACCCAGCACCTCGCCACAGCCAGACTTCATTGCTAGTCACAAACTCAGGACTCTGACTGCCTTCTAACCCTTCCTTTGCCATCTGGCCTTTCATGGGGAACGTCCCCCTCCAATTCCGCCAGGACAAAAACTTGCATCTGTCCCTGTATGCACCAGTTTTCAGAACAAGTCGGCTCCTAGCACCCTCTGGGGAAAACAGCTTATTAATTGATTAAAAGAAAAATAAACACAGGAACGAGGAAGGTGAGGTCTGTGGAGCAGGCCATGGGATGGAGAGAGCAGGGGCAGCATCTGGGGTCCCTGCCTCTTTGAAGGTACAAAGGCAGGTACCCTCTGCAAGGAAGTGACGAGCGTGAGACCCCAGTGAAGGGAGGAGGTGGTCCAGAGAGGCTTCCAGAAAAGAGACTGTGCAGAGGTGTGCCGCAGAGCCACCCAGGAGCTCCAGGCTAGCAGGGAGGAAGGGAGTGGAGCAGGAGGGCGGGAGTCAGTGCCGCCCCAGCAGCACCCAGAGCCAGCTCACCCCAGGGAATTCAAACTGGGAAGTGTCCTTAAGACTGTGCTGCAGGCCTGTTCCAAAGCCCAGGAGGCTGTGAGCAGGCCGTGGGCCAGGTGTGGGCAGGGAGTGGGCAGGGAGTGGGCAGGTTGTGGGCAGGGCGTGGGCAGGGTCTGAGCAGAGCATGGGCAGGGCGTGGGCAGGGCGTGGGCAGGGAGTGGGCAAGGCGTGGGCAGGGCACGGACAGGGTCTGAGCAGGGGGTGGGTCTGAGCAGGGCGTGGGCAGGGAGTGGGCAGGGTCTGAGCAGGACGTGGGCAGGGAGTGGGCAGGGTCTGAGCAGACCCAGATCTGAGGCTCATTACTGAAGGCAACTCAGCCACAAAGGAGCGAGCATGACCCACCTAAAGGCCCTTCACGAGGCCTTTAGGCCAGAGACAGAGACACCACAGGAACTCGCTTTTGTCTCTTGAAGACACACATGGTACACGTAACATCGATACGTGCATGCATACATGCAGGCCAGCACACATGCGTGGAGTCTGCTCTGCCAGCCCGGAGGGATGAACAGCAACCCCTGCGTACCAGTGCGGCCTATTGATGGTCATAGGTGTCAGGTCCGTGGTGGCCACCTAGAAGAAAGCAGCCCGCGGGGGAAAGGAACATCAATCAGGGGCCGGCGGAAACGCCTGTCAATCCGCGAGGTCTCCTGACGAACACCTGTCAATCAGCAGGACTCCCTGGCCAATCCTGGAGTTCAGCCAACTGCCGTGACCAACTCCAATGGGACAAGGGACACTAAGAACACCTTTTCCTGTCCCAAGCCCTTCCCTTACTGCTGTGAGCCCCATAAAAGTCCAGTCCGGTCAAGCTCCCACGCGGTTTCTCCTCAGACCCTCCTCCTGTCCACTCTGTGGGTCTGATCGAGTTCTGCCCGGGAGTGATAGCTCAATAAAATCTCGTTCAGCATTCAGCAGCCTTTTTAAATCTGCCTCCTTTGGTCGCTGCCCACCTCGTCTGATCTTACAATAGGTGCCCCTGCCAAGGCCAGACGGTGATGGCAGGGGCCTCGCAGGGCTACCTGGGCACACTCAGAGCTGACTTCACGAGGTTCTGTTGTCACGAGAATCAGATAGGTCAAGAACAGGCAAACTGCATTCGGAGAGCAGGAGAATTCAAAATGTATTTTACACCCGGCCCCCGTTGGCCCAGGAGAGATCAGACTTCAAATTCTCACCATATTTATAGGCTATCTGGTGCCTAGTCTACAGGATAGAAGACCATGCATTCTAGGAAGCGGCTTTACAGAAACAGAGTGTGATAAGGGGGAGAACTGCCCCCCACCCAGGCCTTCCATAATCTCTGCTTGGGCCTGAAGTCTCCCTCAACAGGGGTGTTCACAATTCAGAGGCGAGTAGTTAGATTCCCAGAGGTAGTTATTTACAATCCAAAATGTAGGGACCTGTGTGTTAACCAGGCTTCCTGAAGAAGGGCTGGCTTCAGCGGGACCCTCCCTTTCCAAGGCACTACCCCTCGGGACAGTGTTCTTATACAGTTTGTTTACCTCCAAGCCCGTTTGGTCACCCATTACACTGTGAACCCAGAACTGTCTTAAAATTTAAAAAGTGTCTTTTAAAAACAAAGGTAGGCTGGGTGTGGCCAGTATCAGAGCACATGCTTAGCCTGCAAGAGGCCCTGGGCTCCCATCCCAGCACCCAGAACAAAACAAACAGAAAGGAAAGTTAGCTGAGCTGCCTGGGCGGGTGGCCGCAGGAGTGGGTGGAGCCCCAGGTGGCACTGGTGACGGTGACGGTGACAGTGAGACCTTGCTTCCCCAATGCTGAAGTATAACCCCAGAGAAGCACACTGCGGCAAGTGTGAGGTGGAAAGTGGGCGGCTTTATAAAGGACAGCAGAGACGACTTCTCCCGCAGGAAGAAGGGGACCCGAATCCGTGGAAGGGGAGGTCTTCCCTTTTTATAGCTAAGGTCTTTTCGTCCTCCTACACTCCTGTCCTGTGTTCCCTCTGTCCTGCAGTGACAGAATGCAGGCGGGAAGGCCAAAGGTGGGAGTTAGGGGACTGGAGGAGTAGTCTGGGCAGGAAGGGCCTGGGGAGGTCTGATCAGCACCTCCCTGTTTGCTGGGAGCTGCTTCATTAACAGTTCCTTAGGATGGGTTCGGGCCTTGGGGACACTAATATTCAATTTCCCCAGGTGCTGTTCTGGTTTCTGGACTCCATTCTCGATAATGGTCTCCATTTTCTCTATCTTACTTGATATTAGACCTGACTTACCTAACTACACTAACTACCTATCTGTAAATCTGGCTTCAGCGGCCTCCTGGTCGTGGTGTGTGGACAGACAGAGGTGAGGGACACAGGGGAGCAGCCAGAGATGAAGAAGGAACACTGGTGGTGAGGCTGGCCTGGGCCGCGGGACCCCTTTAGACCCTGGAGGAGGGTGGCCACAGAAAGTGGAATTTGAAGCCATGCACTTGGGAGAGGTGCCCAGGATGAATGCAGACAGAGGGAGGCCCGTGGATGTCTGTATCAGAGGTGGACTGTGTGGGTGTCCTCAGCGCAGAAGGGAGGCCACTGTGCCCAGCACTTCCCAGGACTGGCCCATGACTGACAGACACCGAGGCTTCCTTGGAGATGCAGGACCCTGACCAGAGCAGAGAGGAGCGAGAGGAGGGGTGCGGGCCTGCGGGAGGCAGCCCTGCTGGGGTGGGGGGAGCCAGGCCAGGGCAGGAGAGAGGAGGGCTGATGTCCCTGGGAAGAAGAGGGTGCCCAGAGATGGCCCCGAGGGACAGGCCACCCGACCACAGGAAGGGCTGGAGCCCACTGGTGGCCAAAGAGGACTGAGAGGCTGCCCAGCGCAGGGAGAAGGGAGGGCCAGGGATGGAGACTGAGGGTGCTCAGGCAGGTGGGCGGCGGGCGGCAGGAAGGAGCTGGGCGTCAGAGGGGGATTAAATGAGGACCTTAACAACCCTCGCTGTGTGAGGGGTAGGCTCCGGGCAGCAGCAGCAGCACTCGGCAGGAGGGCAGGAGGCTGAGTCGGGTGAAGGGTCCGGCAGGCACCCTGGGGGCAGGCCCAGGAAGGACAGGATGGCTGGGGAGGGCTGCCAGATGGCATGGTGACTGCAGGTGGTAGCTTCTGGGGCCCTAAGAGGCACAGCCGTCCCCTAGGGCTGCAGGCCCTGTCCCCCTGGTGCCCACCCAGGCTGCCCCCGACCCCGGCCCTTCTGATAGGGCCAGAATTTAAGGAGGACATTTAAACCAACACTTGTATTTTTTGTGGCACTTCCTGAAGACCATTTCCTGAACTGAGAGTGACTGTCACACTAACACTACCCCATTAGCTTTGCCCCTGTACTTGAACCCCAGACCTCACATTGTTCTCTCCACTGAGGTCAGAGGCTGAGCTGTTGGCCCAGATCCTGTGGGGTGCAGCGGGAGCCAGGTCTGCCTGAGCCCCTCCTCCAGCACAGGCCTGGCCTGTGGCTGACCTGTGGCTGGATAGGAGTCTGTGGCTCAGACAGGGCCACCAGGACAGGGCAAAGCAACAGCATCAGGAGAGGAAGGGCCCTTCAGGCATCAGGGAACATGCCTTCTCCAAAGACAGCGGGCTTCCTCCTGCAGCACAGGACGACACCACGGACGCCGGGAACTGCTCCTGGTCTCCTGTGATGCCCACTGGGTGTTGTGAGAGACAACATATCTGTTTGCTTCCCCTGCAGGAGGAGCACAGCCAGGGCTGGCTGTCACTAGCATCACCCTGTCCTCCAGGGTAAAGTAAAGGAATAGAATGTTCTCCACTCAGGGCCCCGGGTGCAGGTACAGGGGACCTGCCCCGAGGCCTTGGTGTGGGGGGCTGTCCTGGGAGGCTGGGCAGCCCGCCTCCCTCAGCGCCCTCCATTGGCCATGCAGGGGCCTGGGGAGACCCTGGAACAAGACACCCTTGTGAGCCACAACCATCTGCAGCAGTTCTTCAGGCCTGGGTCAAACCAGACGCTGGAAGTCACCGCAGGCAGGTGGACCCTGCAAGCTCTCCCTGGAAGTCACCATAGGCCGGTGGCCACCCCAGCTCACCTCCCTGTGTGTGAGCCACTCCCCTCTCTCCAGTGCTGCTTCCTGAGATGCTCTGGAAGCTGGACCCCTGGCTGGGCTCACCCACATGGTGGCCACACCAGGCTCACCCTGAGAGCCGGCCATAGAGCTCCGGATGCCATTGCGTCTTTATAGACTCATCATTCTCCATCCCAACTGACCCAGTGTGGCTGAACTTGTGTGGCCTACAGAGAAATTCCAAAAGGATCCTTCATGCTTCATGTGGCGCAGAGGCCTGAGTGCCGCTCCTTGTAGGGCTGAGGTGGGGGGATGTGTCTGTGAGGCCCTTCCTTGAGAACAGACCCAGGGCCAGGACCCAGGGCCATCCAGGTCAGAGCAGGGAGAGGAGGGAGACAGCTCACACTCTCAGGACCTGTAGGGCCTTTCTTTCTTCCCAGTAGAGGGACAGGCCCCAGGGAGATGGCCTACCCAGTGCCCCTGCACAGGGTCAGGCTCCAGGCTGGGGGAAGAAGCATCTTCTCACTCAGAAAACACATTCTGATCATTCTTTGTCCTCCCGCCCCCTCCCCTGCCTCCTCTCCCCAGCCTGCCCCTCTCTCCGTCTCTTTCTGTCTCTATCTCTGTCTCGTACCCAGTGCAGCACTGTGGGAGAAGCACTCTGTTTCCCTGTCCTCTGAGCATTGAGAGGACAGGCGTGTGTTTGTCACGGTGACTCACCCTGGTGGCTGCCGGGTGCTGGTGGAGTCTGTGCTAAGCTCCAGGGCGAGGCTGACGCAGGAGGGGGTGTGGCTGCCTGGTTATTTGAGGGATGTCCAGCGTGGGCAGCACTGCCCAGCTGTCAACACTGATCCCTGAGCTGCCCTGACAGGTGCCGTGGTGGGGACATGTGGGCACGGAGTGCCTCTTGGGGCTCAGCCTTCTTAGAAAGTAGGAAGGGGGTAAAGGGCACAGGCGAGAGGGCTCTGAGGCTGGGCTCTGCGCGGGGCGGGGGGCCGGATGCCCCTCTGCTGGCTCCTGGGGGCATGAAGAGGTGTGCTGCTGGGCCCCCTGGAGGGTTCTGCCCCGCGCTGCTGCGGCCTTGGCTCTCCTTGGGCTCCACCACGTCCCACGTTCAAAGCAGCAGCAGGGCACCCTGCCAAGGAACGGCCTCCCCAGGACTGAGCCCATGGGCACCAGAGTCGGCACTGGATTCTGCAATAGCTCCACACGGTAGCCCCGTAATGGCCACATTCATTCCCCAGCAAGTGACCCTTGGTGGGGTGGGGACAGAGCTATGTACTGGCATGTCCCCACTGGCCTCCTCTCGGACTCCCTTTGTGGTGGGGGAGCACCCGCAGGCCTTCCCCGAGGAAATGTGGGATGGAGAAGGTCAGAACGTGGGTGCTCCTGGGAGGCCAGGCTGTGGGAAAGGCGCCAAGGTCCCTGGCTGAGTCAGGACTTCCACGTTCTGTGCCACCTGGCCCGGATGAGCTGCAGGTTCCAACTGAGCAGGGAGGGGTGGCTGCTGGCCCAAGAGAGGGGCCCATCCCAGGCTGGCGACCCAGATTCCAGAGCAGGGCGGAGCCTCCCCTGGGAGCTGGTGATTTTCTGCCAGGGTGTGTGGAGACCTGAGCTGGGCATCTTTCAGGAGCAGTCAGAAGAAGCCTCCGACCTCTGGTTGGGATCTGGCGACTAAAATCCAAACATGAATGAAAATAACACGGGAATCTGGTGCTCAAGTCCTCGTCCCCTGGGGCAGGTGCTCCCAGGGGCGTGCCCCTCAGCAGGTGGCGGGACCACCTCACCCTGGGAAGGCCCTAGGCCAGGCTCTCACACACACATCTGCAGATGCACCCCTGCCACACACACAGTGCTCACACACACACTACGTGGCTCAGGTGTGCTTTACATCAGTTTGGAACGGAA